ACGTTGGAGCTCCGTAAAAACAAATCTGTCTCTGCCGCTCTATTGGACACAATGTTTCTATTTCTGGAAGTATTATACAATTTTGGACGAACAGGAATATTGTTTTCTGGCATCACTTTAAAATGTACGGGGAAAATCTGCATTTTGGTTTGAGGGCGCACGCCGAGAATAAGAGGGTCCTGGTTTAGACAAAAGTCTGTTAACTTGCTTTTTTTTTTTATTCATGTGTAATGCTTGTAAACCTGCTACTGTGAAAACATATCTTATCTCATTTGCCCCCGCCCAAAAAGAGAATTGCACGATCAGCATCAGCCCAAGATGTCAGGGTTGCATATTAAGCAGAGGTTTAATCTAATCGCACTAACAGAGACAGGAGTAACAGCAAGAATGTTAAACACCTGAACTTTTGAAAGAACATCCATAACATTCATCTGTTTGCGACTCACAATATTCCAATTACGTACTGTACATAGACCAGGGGTGGGCAAACTTTTTGGCTCGGGGGCCACTATGAGTTGTAAATTTGACAGGCGGGCCGGCCAGTAGCAGATCGGTAAAAAAATATTTAGCTGTCCACTCCTCATTATACACTCGGCACTCAATGTTGACTTTTCTTTTCTTTGGTCCACTCATTGTTACAGATGCAGGTTCAAAGGTGAATTAGGTTCAAAGGTGAATTATTGCGTCATCGTCATGACGTAACCGTTTACGTGCCTTCTTATGACCCACACAGCGTTTTACGTCGTTGATTTTCTCCGCAACACCGCTCACAACAACATCAATAGAGGACTGCGTCGGGTAGTTTTTAATTATATGAAGCCAGATTCAATTAAAGAACTACTTCTCCAGCCTTGTACCTTTCTCCAGAGAGCCGTGGTGCATTGTTTATTAATGTGGTTCAGCTGCATTACCGCCTGCTGCAGTGCTGCTCGTGCACCGGAGTTTATTCTCCCGTTAACTCGCGGCAGCGGCCGCTGTAAAGTTTTCATTGTCTGACTGTCACACAAGCAGCTGATAAATATCCCCCATCCCCATCAGTGAATGTGTTTTAGTCTGAAAGCTGTTTGGCATCACAGCGCTGTTATGAACGTTTCTCTGCCATTCTACAGGTGATGTTAGCATAGCAAGCTAATCAGACTATCTTGACTACTTGTTGCTGTCATATTGTGGCATAAGCCGTTTTCACACATATTTTACCGGCGTAGTTTTCATTATGATTTTACTTGTGATGGCCACATGTAGCCCATGTACTGATTCCATCCGATAGTTGCAATAACACAAAAGGAAAACGTCTGCCTCTTCACAATAGTCAATAACAGTGAACGGATGGTTACAAGGTCAAATAAACAGAATCGCACTAAGCCTGGTTAGTGTTGCCTGACTTTATAGAAGTTTTTTTATAAGTGTGTGGTCGCGTTCTAGTCACTTTGCTCAGCGCTACTGTTTGTTACAACTTGTATTCGCCGATCTTGCAGGGTTGCCGAGTGGGGCCAGCTGAGAGAATATCAGACTCCAGCAAAGGTGAATTGTGTCTAGAGTGCGCCATCTAGTGGGATCAACTGAAATGCCGGGTATTGCAGGAAAAAGGTAAAATGAATGCGGTCTTCACTATAATTTGGACAATTTTGTACCAATATTCGGCGGGCCGGATTCAAAAGCCCAACGGACCGTATATGGCCCGCGGGCCTTAGTTTGCCCATGCCTGATATAGACTATTCTGCACAGTTTCTATCATATTCTGTTTCTACTATATTGTATTTACTTGTGTTGCACTGTGGGAGGAGCCTGTTTCCTCAGATTTTCATTGTCATAACTACACTGTAGCTATGCACACATGACAATAAAAGCCTTGAAACATGAAAGGTGTAACAGTAGCAGATGTTGAATGAATCGCGCGGACGTACCTGGGGATGGTGACACACTTGGTGTTGCAGTTCTGTGTGGTGATCGCTTTCTCCAGCTCGTCTAACTGACCCGTCTTCTTCAGCTTCTTCACTAAACTCTTCACCGCCTTCTCGCACCATTTCTCCTCCTGGCCGTTATGCTCTCCTCCGCCAGCGCCTCCTGAACCGCTGCTTGTCTTCTTCCAGCCCAGAAGCCTCTTCACCACAGGAGGGGTGAACGGCAAGATGGAGGACATCTTAGCTGGGAGTCTCCAGAGCACTCAACACAATCTCACACACACACACACACACACACACACACACCTGGAGCTACAGAGTGGGCCCTTGCTCTGACGGGGCCCCTCTAGTGACCAGCGAGTCACAGCCAGTGCTGGCAGGGGAAACTCAACAGAGATGGGCACCTTGGGAGAAAGTCACAAAGATTATTGTTAAAAACCAGGTGTTGTTTTGTGGCTGTGAGCGTCTAGCCAATAGCTTATTTTTAAATATAGTAAAGAAAGAAAACCGTGTAGCCTCATCAATAGAGCTACCCCGTCTTAGTCGACGAAATGGTAGTTTTGGTCTTAGTTCAATACTGCTTTAGCTGATGAGTTTTAAAGCTTTTATCTTGAGCCGATTCCGTGTGGACGGAATACTTTTTTTGATATCCTTTTCATTTTCGTCTCCGTGTGGACGGGGCCTTAGTCACTTGCATAGTTTGTGGCTGCTCAATGTGCTAAAGTACAAGTCACTAAGTACATGTACTTAAGTACACTTTAAAAGATACTTGTACTTTACTTAAGTATTTCCATTTGATGCTACTTTGTACTTTTACTTCTCTACAATTCAGAGGTAAATGGTGTACTTTTACTCAACTACATTCGTTTAATACCTTTAGTTACCTAACAGATCTGGATGAATGATGTGAAATATAACCAAGTGTTAAATCAGACTTTAGTTCCACCTGGAGTAAATCCACAAGCTGCCCTGCAGTATACAAAGTCATTCAAACTAGCTGCACCTTTACCAGCTTTGAGAACACTTTAATGATCAATCATTATAAAACATATCATATATATTATTCTGAAATGGACCAATCTGCACAAAGACTACTTTTACTGTTGCTACTTTAACTATATTTTGATGGTAATACTTTTCTACTTTTACTTGAGTAACATGTTGAATGCAGGACTTTTACTGTAACAGAGTACTCCTACACTCTGGTACTTCGACTTTTACTGCAGTACAAGATCTGAGTACTTCTCCCACCTCTGTGTAACACAGTGAACATTCTCATAAACAAGGACTATATTTTGTGACAGGCCCCCCAATGCTAAAACCAACTGGCTTGGATAGGCCGGCTTTTAGCTTCACAGAAATCACAACACTCACTTCACTAGCGTATCTTTAGCATTACAAGGCTGAATCACTGTAAGCTAAATAACGAAAAGAAAGCATGCATAGCTCACGAAGCTAAGCAGATTGAAGGCAATTCATGTAGAAGCCCTCATCTAGCTAGGCAGGCTAACGTTAGCTAGCTTATCTGAGCTAGCTCGTGGATGTATAAACTGGATACTCCGTTCATTCCTATGAGAGCTGCTCAGTATCGCATGAAGCCCAAAACAAAGCGACTGTAGCTACAGAAAGTACCCGTATGTAGGCCCATGGAGCATGCGCAGTTGAGTTTCCCCTTAAGCCCCGCCTTCTATCACCCGCTCTCGGCTCAGTTAAAATGAATGGAGAGAGAAAATAACTCTAGATTGAGCTTTTAACGCATTTTACAACTTTTTAGACACTAATGATTAAAATAAGGGCTATTAAAGAGTTCGTGCTGGCTAATTTATTTAGCTAAAAAAAAAGATTTACAGACGTCTCTTTCCCGATGCAAGACAATGGGAAGAAGTATTTTTCGGGCCAACATGACGTGACGGCAGTTGTAGTACCACCGTGTGGCCACTATGTCCATTCATAAAAATCGGCTTCAACGGCCGGCGCACTTCCTGTAGGCTCCAGCTAACTGCCAGCTTGTTATCAAAAATCCTTTTGTTGTGATCCACAAAAAACCTCCTATGCGCAACAGTCAAGCAGTGAGACTTTACTACCTATCATCAGCCTGCCCGGGCTTGTAATTAATGTGTTAACACATTATATAAATGCATGATTTTAAACGTTGTTGTGTTATACTTCAACGTAGCTATTTGGATGTTTGTGAGTTTTAAATAAACGGCAACAAAAAACGAGTTAGCATCTTGGACGAACTCTTGGCTAACGGACCTTCACACAAAACAACATGCTTCAAAGTCGAGAAAAACAGACAAAAACATGTCAATAGTTACCCCAGTTTTAATGTCCAAAGCTCCGGTTTTTGAGAGAAAGATGTGCACAGCCTTTTTGAGCACCTTGTTGACATAAAACGGTGTTTTACTGCAGCTAATTTTGACAAGGCTTGTTGGCTCTTCTCAAGTTGCTACTGAAAGCTAGTTAGGTAGACTGCAACAACAAAACAAACCTGATGGTTACGTACGAGCTCTTAATCCCTCCTACTCAGAATCTGATTGGATGATTACAATACGACAGACTCTGGCTATTGGCTGATAGCCTTGACAATCATTATTGTTCATATAACTTATTTTGGAATTCATGGTGAACTTGTTGATTTTACATTACTATTTAGAACGTGTATTCATCCTTATTTTAGTAATTGACTTATTTTGAGCAGCTGATTGCATGTCTGACATGTTTGTAGCCTACATTTGAATGTTTTATAATAAATACATATTTCTTATTTTGACATTTATTGTTTAATTGTTTACCTTGTTTATCTTACTAGGTTAAGGCCATATTCAGAAAACTGCAGACATTTTAAACAGGATATTAAGTTATTATTTAAATTTCTTACACATATTCACCCCAATCAAATCAACAATATCACAATTAAGTATAGCTGTTTCTTATTTGACGATGTCTTTACTACTTGTTTATGTGTTACATACAGCTGCTCAGGATAACATGGGAACACTCAATAGCCCCGCCCCTCCCTCAGGTGTTTAATCAGGTATGATTGGGTCTCACCTGGTGTCCTTATAAAATGCTCTACCCTTTAGCTTTTGGCATCAGTTGGTCTGCTTGTTTTGATCTGTGGCAATGGGTGGAGGTTTGCTTCTGTGTGCAGGTTTGCTTCTGTGTGCAGTCTTATTGCAGCTGTCAGGGTCCCTGCAAGGTGAGGTGCCACAACGGTTTATATCCTGATGAGACTTTTACACATTCACTTATTCAGAGTGATGTTACTCAGTGTGTGTGCAATGTCAACTTTTCTACAGCAACGGTAGCTGCTACTTGACTGCTTTTATATGTTCGCTTTCTCTCATAATGCTGCAAGTAATTTTTTTTTTTACCATGCATGTGTACTTTTTGGATTTGATTCAACCTTTTTAGTTGAACTAGATTTTAGGTGTTTAGAAAGCAATTAAAGTAACGTTCCCATCACTGGCGAGGTTTTTATAGATGCATTTACTTTAAACTACTTTTAGGTGCTTACTTTCTCATAATGCTACTTATTTGCTATACCAATACCATGGATGTGTACTTTGCTGCTTGTATCAATTGTCTGGTGTGAAACCTTTTGTGTGTGGCGTGGTAGCTTTTTAAAATGGTTTTATAAAGATTAATTTAAAATAATAAATACTTTGTGCTACATACACTTTTTTTCAATTTATAGATTCTATATTAGCTTCTACCTAACCCCTTTTTATGTTTACTTGCGGACTTATAATGCTACCTATTTTTTTCTGTTTACTATAGAATATATGTATGTATGTATAGCTGGAGTGAAACTTAATTTTTTGTGGGACTTCCCCAGCACTAGCTAAGGGTTCATACAAATAAACAAGTCAATTAAAAATGTGAAAAATATAACGGGTTACAAATAAAAAAATTAATTGCAATAAAATAATGAGACTAAATGCAGTATACAAATGTTTTTACAATTTATTAATGGTATATTTGCTGCTTCTTAACAACTTTTATATCTTCACTTCACACTTATGTTCTCATAATGCTACTTATTTGTGCCATGCATGCTCACTATGATGTATATTTGATTTAACAGGTGCTGTTCCTGCTGAAGATAGATGGATAGAAAGCGTTTATTGCCCTAATACAGAAATAGACAATGAGATTTTCTATTGCAAAATGTGGGACGTTTAGATGGTTTCTGATTCTTCTGATGTTTTTGTGACTCTTTGAACAGTGTCTGCAGGAAGTAGCCCTCTGAAGTGTGTCCTCGGCTCTAAGCTGTGCAGAGACGCCTCCGAGTGTGTTTCCTACCGACATGTGTGTGACGGAGAGTCTGACTGCAAGGACGGCTCTGATGAAGACTTCTGTGCAACAGCATGCAGCGAAGGTACCTCTAATGTTTCCTGAAGCTTTGTACAGAGGATGCTTCCTTACCGTTCTGTGAATGACTTGAAATGGTTAGAAATCACATTAATTGAGAATATAGGAATTCTGCTCTGACTAAAAGATAGGCTTGTTGTTGAGATCAGCGTTCAAGCTGCTCACTCTGTTTTAAAAGTGTACAAATCTGATGTTAAAAAACGGATTGGACAAAAGGCCTCCATTGTTTAAGATGGTGCCCACATTTTAATTTCAAAGATACCATTTGTATCTAGGGGGCCTTGTAATGGCCTTCATTGGTATTTTGCAAATAATTAAAAGTTGCATCCCCAACACTGGCTGTGTTGCTAATGGAGATAATAATAAATAAATATATGGGTAAATAAACAAATACAATAATGATAACAAGAAAATGTATAGCCTTCATTGGGATTTTTTTTAAGTGGTTTCCCAATATTTTTACAAATGTACTAAAAAATAAATAAATATTACTAAAATTATAACAAAGTAAAGAGAACGCAATAATAAAAACATTAGAAAATAGGAAGAAAGATATAGCAAAAATTGTGCTCTTTTAGTTTTTGTCAAATCCTTGTCTCATTGGGTGAATCTACAGATCAGTTCCAGTGTGCTCACGGGAAGAAGTGCATCGCGAAGCAGCAGCTGTGTGACGGGGTGGCTCAGTGTCAGGACCGATCCGATGAGCTGCTCTGCCCAGAGGGGAGCGAGGGCTGCGACCACCGGTGCGACGAGAGCCGCTGCTTACCGAGAACCTTCCTCTGCGACGGGGAGAGGGACTGCGTGGACGGGACCGATGAGGACAACTGCGGTGGGGGAAAAAACACCCACACCGACACTGACGCATATTAATTAATGGAATCAGTCAACTTTTTAAGGACATAAATGGCACATAAAACACGCTTTTGTAGACATGCTATATTATTACCTTAAAAAATAATAATCAGCGTAATTGTATAAATAGTTCTGGTGCTTGTGGGATATCTGTCGCCACGTTTATGTTTTTTTTTTTCAGACTCTCAATAACCATAACCCAATGATTAATGTTTGTTATTTTTGAGAAATTAAAAAGTTAATATGGAGGAGCCAGCCCGCTATTAAAAAGTGGCGATAGATAACTCACAAGTACCATCAGTTATTTTCGGACACGCTATGACTTTTAACATGCGTTATGAATAATTCTTAAAGCTCTACATACATATATATATGCATATACACATACACATACACACACACACAGCCTGTCTCTGATTGGCTGAAACACCAATCAGATCATTGCAGCATTACCCATAATTCCCTCTGTTTCAGCCCTGTTTCCAAAGTGCTGATTCTCTTTCTGTTACTTTAGATGAAAATAAGGAGCCCCTCCCCACGCCCCTCTGAGAGATATTTGGTTAAAAATAACTCAATGGTGCTCTAGGGGGAGATTCAGGTAATAAGATGGGGGGGGGCTGGTTACCTTGGTTTGTGATTGGCTAATGGTTACACAAGACAAAACCTCGTGATGACATCATAGTGGCCAAAATCTGATTAGCTCATTTTCAGACAGGTTTGTATATAAATGGATCAGGACAAAAAGAGAGAATATTTGTTCCTGAAACTTTCAGAGTTTACACAGAGGGGACACATGTTGATGTAGAAGAGACATGAAGAAGAGGAATTTGCATAATAGCTGACCTTTCATTCTTATCTTTAGTATCTCCACTAGAGGAACAGGACTCTGAACTGGATGAAGGGACCCTCCCTACCCCTGCACCCTCCTCCGGCCTCTCGACCCCCATAAAGTGTGCTCTGGGCTTCAGACCGTGCGTGGACCTGAAGGAGTGTGTGCTCTATAAACATGTGTGTGACGGAGAGGCAGACTGCTCCGACGGCTCTGATGAGCACGAGTGCTCCTCAGCATGTGAAGCAGGTAGGTGCTCCTTACTCTGTGGTGATGGCGTGTGTGTGGGTTTAATATGATACTCTACTTCCCTCTGGTGGACTTTAATGGGACTGCACATCAATATAAAATGCAACCTCTCCCACAGAGAAGCTCAATGCATGACTTTATAGGATTTTAGTCGGTTTGCTCTTTTGTGTCTTCGTGCCCATTTTCCACTTTTTGTGAATTTTTATTCACTTTTCCTTGGTTACGTTGTGTCTTAGTTTTCCCCTTTTTATCAAAGATAAGATTGACCTTTATTTATCCCTGTGGGGAAATTCAGGAGTTCAAGCAGCAACAGAGTGAGATTGAAAAAAATAGGTCAGTAGTACAGATTTACCCAAGATTAATACAATTTAAAGATACCATTTTATATACAGGTAAGTAACTGTTAGTATGGAGCAGTGGGCAGCTATTGTTCAGCGCCCGGGGACCCAAAGTTGAGTCTCTCTAGTTGTGTTTCCCCTCTCTTCAATGTGGTAGTATGTTTGTTTCCTTCAGGTCAATAGTCTTTTTCCAGTTGCATTTTAGTGTTAAGCCACGAGGGCCCTGACACTTTGGGTGCCTCTACCTGATTGTTAATACTATTCCAAAACAATATTATTTGTTCTCTTCTCACTGCAAAATAATTATACAATAGCAAAATCCTGCATGGTTAGTTAATTTAAACATTAGCAATATGTATAACAGAATAGTTTCTATGGGAGAAGCCAGATATGTGACGGATGTTCACAAGACTATTTATGAATAATGTGGAATCCACTAAATCTTGGAGCACTTTACACACCTTGCAGCACTGTGATTGCTGTGTTTATGTGCCCTTCTCTGCAGATCAGTTCCAGTGCGCTCACGGGAAGAAGTGCATCCCTCTGAGCCAGGTGTGTGATGGCGTGTCTCAGTGTCAGGACCGGTCCGATGAGATGAGCTGCACCCATCAGACGGACGGCTGCAAACACCAGTGTGACGACAACAACCGCTGCCTCCCCAGCAGCTTCCTGTGTGACGGAGAGAATGACTGCCTGGACGAGAGCGATGAGGCCAACTGCGGTACAAACACTTCATGTATTCATCATTATCAGAGATGGCAGAAGTACACACGTCCTTTACTCAAGTAGAAGTACAGATACTCGTGTTTAAAAATACTCTGGTGAAAGTAGAAGTACTGACTAAACTTCTTTACTCAAGTCAAAGTAAGAGGCTTTGAATGTACTTCAGTAAAAAGTACCCATAACTAGCAGCTGTTTTAAAGAGTACCTGACCTCCCTTTATACCAATAGAACAATAATGTCATTGTTAGCTAATGAATGTTTCCATGCTGAACAACGGCAACATGACAACGTTTTCATTGGTCCCTCTTCTTTAGAGAAGACTCTGACCCTGTTGCTGCTATAAACGCCTGAATTTCCCCAAGGGGATAAAAACAGTTCCATTGTAAATAATGGGTACAAGTATCTCAAACTTGTACAAGAGTAAATGTTACATTCAAACACTGAAGCATCCTTTGTGCTCCAGTCAATCCTCTCAGTAAATACAGAGCTGATCCCAGATCAAGTGCACGCTGAAGGCTCTTTGAGCAGGTTCTCTCTCACTGATTCTGCTGTTATGTGAAATGCTTGTTTTTCATGTATTGTCTTCATATCTGTCGGTTGATGTGACACACAGAGCTGCTGTGATGAAAGTCACATTTCAGACTTGATCTGACCATTAAAGTATCGTATGGTACTGATCACCTGTTTTGATCTGCAGTGGATGAAGGCTGCAGTCCCACAGACTTCACCTGCTCCAGTGGGCAGTGTGTGTCGGCTCAGATGTTGTGTGACGGACACCCGGACTGCGGGGACCGGTCGGATGAAGAGAGCTGCGTCGCGCCCCCCGTCTGCAGCACCAAGCACCGCTGCCCCCTCAGCAAGGAGTGCCTGGTGGAGGAGTGGATCTGTGACGGAGACCTGGACTGCAAGGACGGCTCCGACGAGAAGGTGGGGATGGCTCAAGGCTTTTATTTGTCATACAGACATAGCTACAGTGTAGTTATGTCGATTAACATCTTAGGTCACAGGCTCCTCCAACAGAGCAACACAATAAAACGGGAACATTGAAATTGTGCAATAAGAGTCTATACACAAGTGATTGGAATATGATGTATTGGATAAATAATTTGTAAGTTGCAGCCAGATGAATGTTATGGAAGTTGTTTCTTAGTTCAGGTGAGGATGATGGCAAAGTACTTTATTGATCTCGATTTGGGGCATGTTTGCGTTGCAGCAGCATAAAAAGACATGGCTTTGTACATAAGAGAAGTTAAAAGACAAGAAATAAACAACCCAAATGTAAACATCTCGAATAGAAATAAAAAAGTAGAAAATATACATGTTGAAAAACAAATGTACAGTAACAAAATATAAAGTATGATATGAACATTGATGATGAAGCTTGATTTGGATATCCCTCTTCATACGCCAGGTTCAGCTCAACGTGCTTTCACAGCACGGCACACATCAGACTCCAGGTCAGATGTTAAAGGTGCATGTTGGAGTAAAGTAGACTTATGTTGTAGAGCAGTGGTTCCCAACCTGGGGGGCACCCCCGCTTGGGAGGGCACCATGAACGCAGAGGGGGTGCCGGGGCGCCAGGCCTCAGATGATTTGAGGCCAAATATCATATTTAGACTTTTTTTTTTTTAAGTTAGTAGCTATTCTAGGCATAAAAAGACAGAAATGTATAATTCTTCCTTTAATAGAAATGTTCCTTCTGCCCGTAAAGTGTCCAAACCAGGCTTGTCTGGATAAGCGCATTTTTAAAACATAGTCATCGTCCATGCCGGTTTCAGTTGGATTATTTGTCACAGTTGCTCCGATCAGATCGGTCTCCTCCATTTTGTAGATTATTTACGATTTTTGAATCCACATAAACACATCGGCAAAATCCGGCTTAGTTTGAGCATTTTGAGACTTTTAAACTTGAATTACCGCTGTTGCGCTCCCCTTATGTTTGGGGGGGAAAAAAGGCTCTGGGGAAAAAAGGTTGGGAACCCCTGTTGTAGAGGACCATGTTTACTGGTTTTAGTATATGTGTTGTCATGCCTGTGGAAATCTAGCGTTAAACATCTGTAAATCAACACTGTAGGGACTTTTAGATTACTGTTAATCTTCAGTGATGGAAAGTAACGGTACATGTACCATTTTGTCATACTTGTACCTGAGGATGTCCGGTATATGCTTCTTTATACTTCTACTCCACAACACTTTGGACATTAATTGTAGTTTTTACTCGACTACATTTGTAACTTCATACAGGACCATGATATGGTATTATAATGCAGTACTTACCTACTGATCTTCACAGGATTTCAAGTATCTAGGATTTATCCACATTGACATACTACAAAAACATCCATTCTGCGTAAAGAGTACTTTACTTGTAGTACATTTAGCTGATAATACTCATGTACAATAACTTAAACATTTTGAAATCAGGACTTTAACTTGTTATGAAGTATTTTCAGAACAAAGTATTTCTACTTTTACTCAAGTAAAGGATCGAAGTACTTCCACCACTGCATATTTTTATCAAACTGGCTGCAATGAAGGGCAACTTGTCTGTGTGCTTCGTTTCGCCTCAGTTCCCACATCCAGAGTTTGAATGATTGACAGTAAATGAATGTTTCCTCTGCAGGACTGTCCGGTGTCTGCGGAGATCTGTGGGAAGTTTCAGTGGTCGTGTAAATCCAAGACGAAGTGCATCCCTTCCTCCTGGAAGTGTGACGGCACGAAGGACTGCCACGACGGCAGCGACGAGAGCGAATGTGAGTTTTATGGCTTGTAAAAACTTCTATTGCATTATTTTAGCATCGTACTTAACTTTTTCCTTTTCTTTTATGCGCCAACTTCTGTTTTCTGTCAAGGATTTGTTTATAAAAAAAAAAATTCAATGTAGTAAAAAATGCCCAAAAGTGATCTGTAATATAAGTGTGGTGTGCAAACAGGGGAAACAAAACTTGAATCGAAGGTGTAACACTTTCACGGTGAAACATAATCAAAACACAAGGAAAGTTTATTTTATACTGCATATTTCAATATTTAGAAAAACAATAAAAGCATTAAGAGTGCAAAAGAAATGCATTATAAAAGAAATGGACAAGATGTTCATTGTTTGACATTAAGTAAATCGTTTTGTTATTTCAAAACTTGGCTTCCTTTTTTTTTTATATTTTAAAAAGTAATTGTCGGATATTATAATGTGCAACGACAAGACAAGAGGCAACTTATGCCAGTAATGAAACACTTTCAAGGTAATGCCAAAATGACAGGACAAGTTTATTTATAAAGCATATTCAAACAATAAGGCAATTCTAACAGCCTTACAAAACAACACTTAAGGAATAGAAATAAAAACAAGCTGGAGTAGGATGGTGACAGTTTATTCTGCCAGCCTGCAGTCAGTTTTTAATGTTTTTCATAGAATTTGCATTCTAAAATGTAGCTAAAAACCAGTCTATTTCTGTGTTAAACCCTAACTTGTGTGTGCCAGGTGAGGTGTGGTGCCCCTCCCACCAGTTCCCCTGTGGCAGTCAGGGGTGTGTGTCCTGGTCTCTTGTGTGTAACGGCGTCACTAACTGCGCCGACGGATCAGACGAGGGCGGCAGCTGCAGCTCTCTCTGCGAGGACACCCGGCGCTGCTCTCAGATCTGTTTCAGCACGCCGCAGGGACCGGTGAGCAACATGTGGTTTTTAATATAAAAGGGAGGTATTCATTTATTAAATGTGTGCCAATTTACATGCATTACACGAACATAAAGGTTGCATTAGTTGAGTTCAAATTTCATGTGTAATTTTTTCTTTGGACATATTTGAATCAAAGGAGAATTAGGATGTGTATATACATTTCTTTGTTCATTCAAAAAGGGACAATGCACACAAATTGCATAGACAACATTAAAATACATGAGTGCAAAGTTTCAGCCCATATTAAAACACACACGTGCAAAATTGCAAAGCGCTTTACCAGCAAGTAAAGAAATTACAACAAAAGTGCTAAACTAGGTGGAATAAGGGCGAGGGGTTAGTGGATTAGGAGTTGAAAGCACATTAATACTAACACTGGAGCACAGGCGATAAGAGCCAAAAGGCAAAGACAGTTGATTGGCCGAATAGTAGTTGTATCTTTTTGAATCTTTCCATAACTTGGAAGAACTAAATGTTTGCCAGGTTTTTGTAATGTTGCCTCTCTCCTGTCTGACGCTTGTCTCGCTCTGCAGCCCATATTAAAACACGCATTCAAAATTAAAAGGACATTAATACTAACACACAAGAGACACTTAAGCACAGGCAGATAAGAAATAAGAGCCAATAGGCAAAGACGGTTGGTAGATTAGTAATTGTATCTCATTGCATCTTTCCATAACTTGGAAAAAACTACATTTTTGTGAGGTTTTTATGTGTAAATGTTGCCTCCCTGTCACATGCATAAGAAAACACACAAAGTACATGCATAAGAGACACGGACCTTAAAGCAATATAAGGAAGCAAAATGGATTCAAAACTGATCGGTGCATGAAGAAATTTAGATTTTTACCTGCAATGTCTCACTTTAAAGTCCGTCTTGTTAACCAGGGATTTAATTGCAGTAGAATCTGAGCAATTAAGGTGAAGCATCTTTCATAAACACTCGTGTAAAAAGGGAGCATCGGTGCTATAGTATGTCATTCTTATTGTCTGTGTTCCCTCTCCCCTGTCTGAACCTTCGCTCTCAGCGTTGCGGCTGCTCGTTGGGCTTCAGGCTCCTTCCGGACGCTCTGAGCTGCACTGATGTGGACGAGTGCGAGTCCAGCAGCCCGCCCGTCTGCAGCCAGCTGTGCATCAACACCGAGGGGTCATACAGATGTGACTGTGAGCAGGGATACATCATGGAGGCCGGAAGACACCACTGCAAGATCACCGGTAACTCAAGTCCTGTTAGACCACATCCTGGCTCTAACTCACTCAAGTATTTTCATTATCAGAAAATGTCAGAATGTCCATCCTAGTTTTGCAAGTTATTCATTTTGAGTTCTAAGCCCAAAACCCAAAGATATTTACTTTTTAATATCATGATAAACAAAGAAAAGCAGAACATCTCCATAATTTAGAGGGGAAAAAATGTGTGATTCAATTGATTTTTTTTAATGAATCCTTAAATACCAGTCCATGGCACGACGATGATGAGGATGATACCCTCCTCTATTGACGTGTATATAGACTTTTTGTATTTTATTACATATGTTTCATTGTTGGAGGGGCTCGGGTCAGAAGGATTTCATTGCAATTTCTACACTGTAGCTTAGTGCATATGACAATGACACCTTTGAGTCTTCCCCCTCAGGCGAGCCCTTCCTCCTGGCCTCGGTGCACACGGACATCTTCCTGTACGGTCTGCGCAGCGGAGGTCTGGACATCTTGTCCTCGTCGGCTCAGAAGGCCATCCTGTCTCTGGACTACGACTGGAGGCAGCAGAGGGTCCTGTGGGTCAGCCTGGACACAGAGGGCATCCAGTGGTCCTCCCTGGACCATAAGACCAGCGGGACCCTCATCAAAGGTGGGGGCAATCATTGTAACTCATTAAAGGTGGGTTTGGTTCCATAAATGCATTTACTCGAGGACCGTAGGAAATGTAGGACTTTTTTTCATCCACTTCTTTCCAGAGTTCCAGTTTTCTGACATTGTTAGACATGTTTGTACTTTTTTATTGACCGTTTTCTGTACGTTCTGTACCAAAACATCCAACAAATCAACTAAAGGAACGCTCTCTGGATTTTGAACTACTCTTCATTTAGTTTTTTCTTTATTGACACTTTTTACGTGAATAAAAAAAAAAAAAAACGTTTTAAAGCTTTCTGACATTTTTGTGTACTTTTTATTTCTGTATTGTTTTCTGTACGTTTGAGGTTTTTGTTAGTATGAAAAACCAAAACATCCTCAAAAAATCAACTGAAGGTATGTAAATGCATGTAGTGCAGGAAAAGAGCAATGTGTGCCTCTTACACCTCTGTTGAAGTGTAAGGGCAGTAAATGTTATACTTGAGTAAAGTACCTCTAAATGTATTCAGACGCAGTACTTTTGATCCCCGTTTCCTGCAGGGCTGCGTGCGGACTCTGTGGCGGTGGACTGGCTCGGCAGGAACCTGTACTGGATCGATGGCGTGAACGGAAAGATCTCTGCCATCAAACTGAGCTCAGAACCAGTGAAGTCCTCGGACCACAGCGTGATCCTCGATGAAGACCTGGACCTGCCTCGCTCTCTGGCTCTGCTTCCTCAGAAAGGGTCAGTGACACTTTAATTAAATATGATTAAAGAGTCCTCTCCTGCTGATGTTCAGGTGTATATCAGTATGTAGTGTCTCTACTTTAAAGAGTCCTCTCCTGCTGATGTTCAGGTGTATATCAGTATGTAGTGGCTCTACTTTAAAGAGTTCTCTCCTGCTGATGTTCAGGTGTATATCAGTATGTAGTGTCTCTACTTTAAAGAGTTCTCTCCTGCTGATGTTCAGGTGTATATCAGTATGTAGTGTCTCTACTTTAAAGAGTCCTCTCCTGCTGATGTTCAGGTGTATATCAGTATGTAGTGTCTCTACTTTAAAGAGTCCTCTCCTGCTGATGTTCAGGTGTATATAGAGCACCTTGAATGGCCTCTGTGTTAAAATGTGCTATACAACGACACTAACCTTCACCTTGTGTCTCCAGGCTGATGTTCTGGACGGAGATCGGTAACGTGCCGAAGATAGAGCGCTCGGGGATGGACGGTTCTGAGCGGAGAGTCGTGGTGAACTCCAGTCTGGGCTGGCCGGGCGGCGTGGCTCTGGACCCGATCTCTGAGAGGGTCTACTGGACCGACGAGAGGCTGAGGGCCATCGGGTCCACCACGCTGGACGGAGAGGACATCCGGGTAAAAGATTTAGGATGGAAGAGGATGTTTTCGGGCATAAATGCAGTAGAGTTTCAGTTCAGTTTTCGTATGCATCCATCATAAAGGGTGTTGCCGCCAACAGAGCAATATCTACCAATAATGTAGTAATTTAGCATTAACTGAAACGGAATACCTTTTTGTTATCGAGACAAATACTCCCGAGACATTTCAATACCAAATGAAATATGCGCATGTTTGAAACCAGAGCAAATATCTTTAATATTTAAACTACACTATTTTAACATTTTATGACTTAATTAATTTGAATCACTATTTTGAGGAAACTGTTTCTAAAATGCATGCCATTTCAAGTTATTGTCATCTTTTTAAATATTAAGTTTTGGGTAGCAACAAATGATTGGCTGTTGCAAACGCTTTAACTTAACAATCAATCTACAAGCTAAATGTCCTACTGTCCCTGAAGTACTAAAATGTCCCTTCAAAGTGTCCAAAATGGCTCGAGCATGGATGGAATTTAATGTAAATACAACACACTCTTTAGCTTCCTGTCGCATAATAAATGTGTGTTTCTTAATCTGTGATGTTCCAGATCCTGCAGATGAAGGAGACCACCAACCCGTTCTCGCTGGCTGTTTTTAACGACATGCTGTACTGGTCTGACGCTAAGAAGAGAGTTGTGTTCGCTGCTAATAAAAATTCTGGGAAAGACCGAGAAATCGTCCTGAAGAGACTCAATCAACCTTTCAGCGTGAAGGTATAACGCTCACAGTTTAAGGTGCAGGGAAAGATGGGTTTGGTATTATAATACACTTTATTTATATAGCACCTTTCATGCTAGACGCAGCTCAAAGTGCTGAACAGAGTATGACGATAACAAATGAGGAATATCATTAAAAACAAGAGTATATCTGAACCATAAAACATGAACAGCTACTAAACATGATTTTATATTTTATATGCCGCAAATTACATAAAACTACATATAATGAAGAAACGGTAGCTAAAGTAGGATTAATAATACACTTTACTTTATTGTGCAGAATAAGTACTTCTAAATGTTCTGCACTTTAAATACATTTCAATAGTTTTGTACCTTCACTTGAGTAACATTTTGAAATCAGGACTTTTACTTGACAAGTAAGACAATTGTAGTTGTACTTTTACTTAAAGTCTTAGTACTTCTTCCACCACTGCTGGTTTCCTCTCACATGTTCACAAAGTATCAGCCTGACTTATAAGCATTAATATTCTCCCGTTTTGTTTCAGATCATCCACCCGTTGCTTCAGACGGGCTTTGAGAGTCCCTGTGAAAACATCGTCTGTTCCCACATGTGTGTTTTGGCCCCGGGGCCCAAAGCCGTGTGCAAATGTCCCCCTCGTCTCCTATTGGCTGAGGACGGCCTGACCTGCTCCAGCCTCGTCGACTCTGACTTCCTGTTGATGCTTTCGCCCTCCACCGTCACTCAGGTGATTATTATATACAGAGATGGCAAAAGTACACATCCTTTACTCAAGTTGAAGTGCAGATACTCGTGTTTAAAAATACTCTGGTGAAAGTAGAAGTACTGACTAAACTTCTTTAATCAAGTAAAAGTAGTACTTCAGTAAAAAGTACCCATAACTAGCAGCTGTTTTAAAGAGTACCTGACCTCCCTTTATATTAATAGAACAATAATGTCATTGTTAGCTAATGAATGTTTCCATGCTGAACAACGGCAACATGACAACGTTTTCATTGGTCCCTCTTCTTTAGAGAAGACCAGGAAATGATGGATACACGGATCGTGTTCAAATCAATAGGCACGCAATGACTCTAAATAATAATGATCACGCCACCAAACACACATTCAGACTAAAGGAACCAGCCTGTTTGGAAAATGTGAGAAGTAGAAAGTACAGGTATTTGGGTTCAACATGTGAGAAGTAGAAAGTACAGGTATTTGAGTTCAACATGTAAGAAGTAGAAAGTACAGGTATTTGTGTTCAACATGTAAGAAGTAGAAAGTACAGGTATTTGGGTTCAACATGTAAGAAGTAGAAAGTACAGGTATTTGAGTTCAACATGTAAGAAGTAGAAAGTACAGGTATTTGGGTTCAACATGTAAGAAGTCATCAGAAAAATAAGTAGTGGAGTAAAGTACTGATACCAGAAACATGTGCTTAAGTACAGCAACAAAGTATTTGTGCTCTACTTCTTCCCACCTCTGCTTATATATAATGTAGTGGTGTGGAAAAGGTTATAATGAGCTTATAAAGACTGAAGATGTTGAATTAAGGAAATTATCTTTTATCCAAAGCAACTTGCATACTCATTACTGTGGAGAATAGCCACTGGTGACATTGCTCACACAAGGACATGCTGACTACATGTTATCTTCATGTAAATGTATACAATATGACTGGAAATGTATTGAAGAGAAGCTTTAAGGGGCGGGGCCTCACTAGGGTTTGCACATTCATGTACTAAAGCTGAGGGTAACGGAGAAATCATTATGGTATCAAACTTCTAAGGATCCGATACTTTGAAAAGAGTTGATATGCACTCTTACAAGAGTTATGTCAGTTTCCCACCAATAAAACACCCAGGAAAAGGTTATAATCGATATGTATTCCCAGGACAAATATCTGTCGTCTCAACGCAATTTATCGGATCAAGTTCCAAACGGCAATGTTGGAAACGTGCCAAAATGTGTTGCGTTTAGTTAAATGTTCCTATATTGAAATATTTGGAGATTTTTTGCAAATGCATTGATGCCACTCTCTCGTCTTTACTCCAGATCTACCTGCAGTCCAGACACTCCTCATCAGATCTGAAGGGCTGGCCTGAACACGTCGCCCTGCAGGTGCCCAGCGTCAACGAGGCGGCTATCTTGGACTTCAACCTCCGAGACGACACTTTGTTTCTGACGGACGAGGCCACGACTTCCCTCAGCTCTTTCAAACTCAAGGGCTTAGACCTGTCCTCAGAGGTGGGGAAGTACACTTACTCGAGTACTGTACTTAAGTACAAATTAGGTGTTCTTAAACTTTGAGTATTTCCATTTTATGCTACTTTATACTTTGAATTAACTTCATTTAAAAGGGAAATAATGTAATTTTACTCCATTTATTAAACGGCTTCAGCTACTTTTAATAAAATGCATCTCTAAAAATTTAACTAGTGGACTACTAAGTCACAAAAGAGTCAAATTATTTTACAAAAAAGTCAACCAGAATTGTATTTTTCTAAAAAAAGTTAAATGCAACAATATTATATACACACCTGGGGGCAATTTCTCTGCATGATTTACTTTTACTTGTTATACTTTGAGTACATATTGCTGATAATACAATGTTACAGTAACAATACAGTTTAAAGTGCTGTATACATTTCCCACCTAAGGATAATATTCCCACAATGCAGCATAATTTACAGTATTACAAATTACTGTGGGAAATACAGTACTTTACTGCCTACATTACAGACATTTGTTACAGTGTAGAATGGGTGATCTGTTGGGTATTTTAAGCAAAACACTTCATAGACATGTTTTTATATATCGGAGTATAATGTATGCCTACAAATAGTATAATGAGACCTTCAAATCAATCCTCACACTTCTGCCTGTCCTCTCAGGGCGTGTTCCTGAAGCTTCTGGGTAACTCCATCACTGCCATGGCTGTGGACTGGATCACAGGCAGTGTGTTCTGGAGCAGCAGCACGCAGACCCACCTGCAGGTGACCTCCAGCACCGCGGCCCACACCGCGGTCCTCCTGAAGGAAGGTGTTGAGCGGGTGGGGTCCATCGCCCTCCATCCTCCCACTGGAATAGTGTGCTTCACTAACCTGGGTCTGCAGGGCTCCACGGTAGAGTGCTCCAACATGGACGGGGATCAGAGGAAAGTCGTGTGGAAAGATGCCGAGCAGCCCACGTCTCTGGTGTTCTCCAGCAGCGGGGACTCCATCTATTGGGCCGACACCGGTGAGAGGGCTTCACGTGGTTTCAGAATAGTGTTTGGAGGGAGCTTCTGTCAAAGTCAAACTTTATTGTCAATCTTTCAGTTTGTGTACAGACAGAGATCGAAATACCGTTTCCCACAATCCCGAACACACACACACACTTATACATATGCAAACATTAAGACAT